TGATGGTTTTCTCCATTTTATTTCAAGATCACGAGTATAATGCAACTAACTGCAGGCATAGACATTCATGCGCTTTCTCTCCTTGCGTTCAAATTTATTTTTCCACCTTCTAATGTTTACAAAAGACTATTTATAAAGAGACATAGAGAGTACCAACGGTTATGGGAGTGCCGAAAATCTTGATAATGAGTTAGTCACTATTTAAAAGAGCTGTGTCGCTAAATTTACCGCCAAATTGAGTGAAACATAAAAAATTAACTGCTCAAAACATGAAAAAGCGGGTATAAATAACAAAGCAATAACATATGGAGTAGAGAAACGGATGGAGAAAGTTGAAAAACATTCAGACAAAAAGCGGGAAGGTTTTTATCTATTGCTTCTGCACCAGAGAATATCTGTGAAATAAGGGTCTGACATTGTCCGCGGATTAGGATTACACTTTTTCTTCCTTTAACAACACACTTTATACAGGTGTTTATAAGAATATCGAGCTGAAGAATATGTTAAGACTAAACCCCCGGCGGAGAGTTAGAGAAAGATAAAATTTTGTGGTTCAAAACCTGTAAATACAATACAATTATATATTTTCAACTTATTCCATTCTCCAAACGGTGAAACTTGCCAGAAAACGAAACTGAAAAATTACCCTTACTACAGTAAAAACCCGCAACTAAGAACCTACATTTTTAGGGGTTAGCCTAAACAGGTTCTTATATAAATGGTAGTTAACAGAATTTTAGGCTATTTAGGTTCTTAAAATGGGTTCTTAATCCTGGAGAAAAAACAATGCATAATGGTGTGCTGATCTACATATTGCTTAGTATGCTTTGTAAGTCTACATATCTTGCACTCATTTTTCTTTAAAAAACATTTTTACAACAATGGAAATCTGCTATTTTTGCTTCAATTATGATTCTTGCATTGCGGCTGTAATGTACTAGTATGATTTTAGAAAATAAGAACCTGTTTTAAATTTCTTAGGCTAAATAGGTTCTTGTTTATAGGGGGTATAAATGACCAATTTTAGGCTAACAGGTTCTTAATTTTTAGGTTCTTAGTTGCGGGTTTTTACTGTATAATATATAAGACCCCAATATATTCAGTTTCTACTATCAGGTCATGGGCTTTCCTCGTCGCACTTACGAATTAAATTCAGAATAGACGCATACACGGTATAATTTTTGTTTTCCCTTTATTTAGCACTAAGCTTGCCTTAAATTAAAAAAAGTGTAACCCTACTTTTTAAGGAAGTTCATCGGCAAGTTAAAATTAGCTAAGGGCCTAATGGGGAAAGCTCTTTCGCCATGATCATAATACAGATGGCGTTAGTTTTGCATACGAAACTTTGCAAAATTTCCACTTCAAATCAGAAACGCATTATACTGTTGTAATCATGAAAGGGAACTTGCAAAATTTCAAATTTGAACTCTTAGGGCCTTTTTTCATGAAGGTGGGGGACCCCAGGAAGGTGAGGTAACCCGCCTGTCCATATAATCTCTCATTTTAATTTGATTAACAATAGAAAGCAACAGGACTGAAAGTTGCAGCAAGAGCAGCAAGTGAGTGCAGAAAAGCCAAAACACGTGGTTTGCTAACATGTTTCTTGTTCACGTGTTAAACGGGTAGTAAGATTGCATGTAGAGGAGGGTTCTTTTCTAACCCCACCTACCTCGGGTCCCCCACCTCCATGTACTGTCAAACTCAGAAAAAGGTGAACGCCTGGAAATTTTCGCGCGCCCTTATTGGAAATTTTATCGCAACACATTAACATTCCATAAAAATTTCTGATTTGTGAGTGTCACAGTAATAGTGATATAATCATCAAAGCCCGGTACTTTGAGGGAAAAAGAAAACAAGCTTAGCAACTCGACAAATAGTGTATAACACAATCTAGGAATCAGTCGTCATCCAAACGAGAAACAACGACGGTCAAAGCTGTTGGCTCATTTTCAAAGTGGAAAAATGGAACTGTTTCTTTGCGTAAACTAATTAGATTATTTAAGCGCACATTTTGTTCATTTGTCTATTCCATATTTTTAAAGTTAATCATAACTATAGCAAAATTCTCAAATCTGACTGGCAATCAACTGCCATGCTTTCAGCACTAACAGGACAGTACGCGCGCACTTAAATGGCCTTTTTTTTCACTGCTTGGAATTTCTTGTGTTTTGATTTAACAATAGAGCCTTATATTATCACAAATTTTGTTAAAGTTAAGATTAATCGGTAGGAGAACTTCATGTAGTCTAATTCGGTCTGTAATCATACTAAACAATTATTGGATGAGGTTTTTGTGATAATCAAGGTCGAGGTAAAAATCATACACCGCGGTCATACATGACATGATTACCCGTGACGTCGAGTTTAGATGACGTCCCAAGCGCTGCTTTCGAAATCTCACTGCAAGCTTTCGGCCAATCACAAATGAGATAGTGAGTTGAATGTACAATAACAGACCAAATTGGACTCCACTCGGTCCTATTACAAATTAAACACTTAAGAAATCAGAAATTAAAAACTGCCAAGCATCATTCTTGGCCATCATTGCCCACTTCATTCTTTGACTTCTTCCTCCTTTTACTCTTCTTCTTTATTTTTCGTTGTTTTCCCCTATGAAAAATAAAAAATTTAATCTTACATCGCACGGGTTGTTTCCAAACCAGCTTTCTGGTTTGGGAAATTCAAGCGGAGTGCTTAACGGCTCTTTTGCGTGTTCTTGCCTTATTCTCAAGTCATTTGCGCTTGTACGTTTGACTGTCCTATGAAAGGGGTTATAGGTCACTACCGCTATAAAAAATTACTGTAATTTAATAATCTAAAGTACCAGTAAATACTGATTTTCGAGACTGCGTATGGTAGGTGTGCATCGCATTGGAATACTTAAGAGTGAAAGAAGGAAACCCTAGGCACGAAATACAGAAACTGATTTCTTTTTTTTGATAAATCGCTCATTTCGTGGCCTAAGCACTTATACTGTGATCATCAACAACCAGCTACAACGTAAACAAAAACAATATTCTAACGAATGTGCTATTTTTTTGCACGGAAGAGAAAGAAAAAAAATTCTAGCAACAAATTCCCAATAACATGTACTGTACCTTTTTCTGTGACACCTGCTTCCCCTTTTGGCCTCTTTGCCTCAGGTGGACCTTAATGTTTAATACCAAAAAAAAAAATTACTATCACCAAAAACTACATATTCAGTTTCTTTACTAGGTAAAGGAAAATGGTTTGACTTGTTTTGTTGTACTGTGGGAATGACAGCTAAAGGTATACAGAAAGTTGAATTAACTTAATTCCATACCTACACCTCGCATGGCATCATCATCCTTTCTTTCATCTACAAAGTCATTTAAATAGACAATATAAGAAAAAGTCTAAAGAAAATCAAGTAACCTGAATTTTTAATATACACGTAACATAATGATAAAGAAATTTAATGTGCATGAGTAGACTGTTCAAATTCAGCTCCAAACGGAATATCAAACGAAAATTAAATGGCTCATTGACTTTTATGAATCTTCATCTTTTGACAACCTGTTTAATATTATTGATCTAGGATTGCTTTAAACTAATGAGAGATGTTTTTCTTTTCGCAAGCTCTGAGCTGGATCACTAAGAACTTTGTAATTTATCACGGCTTCTGTTCGAGTCATTTTATGCATGGGACTTGAAGATTTCATTAATTTCCACGTCACCACTTCATATCACGTATACAAACGTCATCTTTGGAAGTCTTACCGGGTAAGGTTGAGGACAAATCCTCAGTGCCCTTTGGCAATGATCCTCTTAAGGAAACCTGTGCAAAACAAGGACGCAACATCAGCCACTGTACACACTGCGTAATATTTATGTGATGTTTCTTAATCTAAACATAAATTGGACCAATACTAGAAGGCTTTCTAATATATCATGATACTGTTGTAATCATGAAAAGCAAGGTGCTAAATTTCAAATTTGCTATTACTTTTACATTACTATAACTATTATTATTATCAATTTAAATATTACATTTTTTGTCCAACGTACAGTCAACGTGCATAGGGGAAGACAATTCAGACTGTTCAGAGACTTTTCTGAGTACAGTGGTGCTATATTCCATAGGCCTTAGAGCAATAATAATTACCTCAGAATCAAGAAGTAAAAGCATTTCTTCCTCTTCCTGTACAAGATAATAATCACCCCACTTACAGTTAAGACATGGACTGTTCTTTTCGATGTTACATAATTTTTGTGTAAGGGTTGGAAACCGCAAATATATCTTTCTGTAGGAACCAGGTGATCATCATTTAATGATACTTAATTACTTGGCTTAAATTATTACTGTTCTCTTGCTACCCTCTAGCATTTAATGTCACCCGCATCTTCATTGTCTGACAGTGCTTATGTCCTCCATTGAGGCAAAAAACAATAATAATAATAATAATAATAATAATAATAATAATAATAATATTTTCATGTGTAGATATATATATGTGTACTGAACACTGTCCATGTACTGTAGATGGTATAGATACACTGGGTGGGATTTGCTAAGCCTTACGGGCCTATTAATCTATTAGCCTGGACCTAGCTTCTATTTTAAAACAAGTCCACCTGTGAAACAGCACCAAGACCCTTATCCTTGGCCCACTACTGTGTACCAGGATTTGGGTATCTTTGAATAGGTGTGAGCAACTTTAAAAAAAAACTATTGTCAATTTGCCATTCAGGTCGAAGGGAAATTTCCCACGCATTTCTGGTAAACAACTCTTTAAATAAATAAGGAGGAAGGATAAACAAATTATCAGCGTTACACACCACGGTTTGATTACATTTGTGACGCAGGATATGGCTCTGTGATATCATTGCCTTGGGATATTAATTTTACGATGTTTGTCTACGATTATTGTTACATGTATCTCAAGCAATACATACATAAGTGGGTAACTTGTTAAAAGGGTTGAGTGTTGTCCAGACTAGTTAATCTTCCCAGAAAAATTGGTTTGTAATTTCACTATTCACGATTGTCTCGATTCATTGTTTAATATTAATGTACTCACTCGCTCCTGTAAGTGGAGGAAACAGTGTCCTTCAACAGGGTCCTCTGGTTTTTTCACCCCTCCCCCTCCATGCAGGGTAAAAAAGAGGGGCCGGCCATCCGGGTAGCCAACCGAGTCATAGACTGCCTATAAAAAAAAAAGCAAAAAAGTATTTTAGTAATTTATCTCAATAGAAGGTTTTTTTTAAGGCAATTAAAAGAATCCATCTCTTTTAAGTTGAAATGATGGTCATACAACATACATACATGGTGGATTGATTTGTCAGGAGGCAGAGTAACATGTAACAGTACCGTCCTGTATTTTCTATATTTTCTACTAATGCGCTCACCATTCAGCATTTTCACAATAACATGCCAACCACTTTTGTCTTTGTTGAACACCCTATTGTGCCTTGCCTCTCTTACAGCCCGCTGGAAAGGAAAAAAAAAGTATAACATTCTAATATTCTTGCGGTTTTGAGAGAGTTCCTACTCAGAGAACATTTTTTTAAAGAGAGCAGATAGTTCTACAGGCAAGCTCACTGGAATAAAACTACCCTAATTCTTCTAAAAATTATTATTAGTCCGCACTTTTATTTGAAATACAGCTTTCCATGCCCATTCTAGATTCTTAAATGAAAAATTGAGTTCCTAGTTTTAAAAATGAATCTACAAATATTTTACTTACCTCTTTACTCATATCTTCTTCCATCTTTAAAAAAAAGAAAGAAAGAAACTCATGTTATTTATATGATCTAACCTGTCCAAGCGTTTAGATAGTGGGGAGCAAGTTAGATTGTAAGCAACAAATGCAAAAGAAACATGAGGGGAAACAAAAAGGAGGAGAGACTGGGGCTTTTTTCCCTCATCAATTTTTAGTCCATGCCCAACTTCGCCCGCCCTTCCGACTATATATCTGAATGTCTGGGACAGGCTAAGATGGATTAAACAATGATAATATTGTCAGGTTAATTTCTTACAAAAGAAAAGTGCTGGGTTCAAAACCCTGCATCTGGGATTCACACATGCACTATTGTAGCTTTGTCAGTCCCAGCTGCTAATTTATCCTTAAGAAGGAGCATTTTTCTGCACCAATTCCGAAATGATTGATTTTAAGCCTGTGATTGAAAATGATTTGAATTTTTAAACCTTTGTATATTGTATGCAAGATATTACTTTACCTCACTAGTTCTAGTCTCATCATCTTCTTGCTGGAAATAATTAGAAAGTTGAAATATTACTACAATGTATAACATTTTTTTCATCAATTTTGAGGTCCTAAAGCTTCGCTTTCAAGATAACAACAGAGTTGAACTTTTTTTTTTCCATTTTGGGTTGCAAATCTAAAGGATTTTTCTTTGAAGATAGTTAATAAATAGACAGCAGACAACAAGCCCAGTTTCTTTGTTTTAATTCCACAGTTATTGGTATGAACTAACTCTTCATTGATGGAATCAACTTCTGGTCAAGATATATATTGACTGTGGTTGACACAGTCATAAACTGAATTTGATAGTCTTATTGAATTAATGTCTCATTGTCATTAATGGAAATTCTCCAAAATTGCCTCAAAAATAGTGACTTACCTCACAAGTCTCCCCTTTTTCCTCCTAAAAGTAACAAAAAGACAAGTAAGAGTGACCCTTTTTGTATTTTATTTGTTTTTGTTTGTTTGTTTACATTTTTTGTTAGTATCTCCTAAAGGTGCATGTTCTATGCTGCAGTACTATAGCTGCCATCTGCAATTAATTTGTGTTGGGGAGTATGAACTAATGAGGTAAGCTATTTAATTTATTCAACAAAAATGGTCATTTGTAATTCCTTAGTTTATAATTCTTTGCACAACAAATGTTTACTCATGCACTTCACACTGTGTTTGTTTGGGATGCCACAACAAGTAAAAAGAAATGATGCATCAATGTATAGTACTCTAGTTAAATAGTAGTGAAACCTTTACCAAAACTATTAGTTTCAGTGTTTGGAAGACATTTACCACACCATAGTTATTAAATTTTAAGCCTTTCAATATTTTATCCACAGGGACTCCATTTTCTGATATTAAGCAGGTCAACAAAAAAAAAATACAACAGGTTGTATTGAATGACTCACTCACCTCATGAATATTCTCCTTTTCATTCTAAGAGTAAAATTAATTGGAAAAATAAAACAATAGGTAAACATAAGAATAGTTTCTATAGGTAATAGCATGATTTGTAGTGATATTTGGCATAAATACCACAAGTGATATTTTATACGTAATTTCACAAGCTGTTAGGCAAGTGAAATTTGAGACAATTTTGAAATATCACAAGTGGTATTTACATGTATGTCAAATATCACATATCATGCTATTGTTTGTTTATATACTACTATCCACAAAAGGTTTGTAATTTAAATTCACATGTAGGTATTTCAAATTAAGCTGAAGTATCACTGCTCTAAGCCAATCAAAATGCAGAAATTTCTCGTGTAGTAGCTAGTATAAGTGCAATTATATAGCTGAGGAACTGATTACTATATGTATTCATGCTCTAGGCTCCACTAGTTGGAACTAAGAGGTGGTAAAAATTTCAAAAGAAGCTATTTCATTAAATTAACCTTCTTCTCTTTGTCCTTCCTCAACGATTCATCCAGCTCCTTCTTCTGTTGCAGGAGAAGGTCTCTTCTCTGATATTCTCTGTCACTATAATAAGGATGAGATAAAAATTACTCTTGACAAATATCATTAACTCTGGATTGTAAATGGAATCAAAATTCTCCACTGACTGTACCACCCGTTGCATCTTCTTATGAGATGTACTGATGTATGTTTGTAAACTTGAGCTTTTAACACTGTCACAGATAAAAATAACAACAACAACAACAACAACAACAACAATAACAATGATCAACAACAAACCGGTTGGATCTTAGTGAGCCCAATGCTGCCTCTCCCCTCTCTATCGCTTCTCTCATCCCTCTTACATCCTGAAGGGACTGCCCTGTAATTGCATAAAGGAAATTGACTTACAATCGTTATCATCCTTTCTTTCCTGGATTCCCTTATGAAGAAGAAATTAAAATGACGTGTAAATTATACTGTTTAGTTGCAGAAAATATTATAAACTAGTCATGGTCTGCAAAAAAAACAGTTCAAAAATTCAATATTAATTTATATTCGTGTAGTAATTTATTGCATTAATCAAGGTGCCAATGCATGTAACCTGGTTGCCTTTTGCCTAGTTTACTATTTACGTACATTCTTTATGATGTATATTTTTATGAAGGAGCAAGCTTTTGATCAGTAAGACAAGACAGTAGAATACCAATGTATTATGCCTTGTGCAGGGTACAAAATATAATCTTTTGTTGAGGAATTTTTTTTTAATCTCACCTGAGAAGCGATCCACAAGAACTGGATTTAGAGGTGCTGTCGAGGGGGCAACAACAAACACCTCAGAATCTTTATTGTTGTCCCCAAATTTTTGTTTCACTGGAAAGAAATACAAAATCGTCCACATCAAAGATAGTATATACTGATATAACTTCCAAATTATCTATAAACTAAACTATCACTTGACAGTACATATTAAGTAGTCAAGTCTATGGTCAAGTGAGCATTTGATCATGTTGAAGATCTCTGTTATTCTTCTTATTACTTTTCCATTTATATAAAATCAATTTTTTTTTTCCATGCATAGAAACTATAGACAAAGCCATGGATAGATAAGACACAAAAAACCTTCTCTCGATCATCTCTCTTTAACTAAAAATGGCGGCCACACATGTACAGTTTTACATGTAATATTTAACATAGATTTATGTACTTATAATCTCAGGAATTCTTTGTTCTATTTTTCACCTGGTAAATACATTTGCAAACAGAGATATCAATGAAGTTAATGTAATACAAACTGCTGAGGCACAAAAAATGTTAACATAAATTTCTTGACGACTTGATCACAAGCATATTAATCACCTTGTCTTCCATTTATTGACTCTGCCATCCCCAACCAAAAATAAACATCATTAGCTTCGGAGATGCCATTCAGAAGCCTTTGGGAAAACAAGAAACCCTTGATGTTATTTAAACAATTCTCTTTTTCTTTTGTTTGTGAATCGTAAAATGATTTTAGTATAATTCATGTCATTTTTTGGTGAAAATTATTTTTGTTATACATTGTATAAATACATTAAGGTATAAATAAACAACTCTTTGGAAATACGTTGATGACACCACTCTTGTCGAATCAGTATCGAAGAACGAGACTAGCCACATGCAGTTACGTGTAGATGAACTTGTACGACAGTCGGAAGCTGATATGGTTTCCAACTCAACGAGTCTAAATGTAAAGAACTGAGAATATCATTCTCTAGATCAGGAATTTCTGTAGATCATATCACTATCAATGATAAGCAAATCGAAGTTGTCTCATCTGCAAAGCTGTTAGGAGTGGTAGTTTCAGACAACCTCAGGTGGAACGCCCATGTAGAATCTATATGCAAAAAGGCTGCGATGTGCCTGTACTTCCTAAAACAGCTAAAGCACACTAAAGTTCCACCCAAGGATATGCTACTTTTCTATACAACATGTATACGCCCTGTATTAGAATATGCGTGCCCAGTCTTTCATCATTCTTTGCCGCAATATCTGTCTTATGAAATGGAAAGGTTGCAAAATCGTGCATTGCGGATAATACAACCTGACTTATCCTATGCTGAGGCTCTAGTAGCTCTAGACATCACGTCACTGTACAAGAGGAGGAAGGCCTTGAGTAATGCTCTATTTGACCAAATCGTAAGGGACCAAAGCCACAAGCTCCATGATCTGCTGCTGCCATGCAACGGGTCCACTTATTGCACCCGTAGCCAGAGATACTTCAAGCTACCGATTTGTAAGACAAATAGGTTTAAAAACACTTTTATTATGGCGAACAGTTTTAGTTATTAGTAGTAACCTTAATTATTAGTATTTTGGTGTTGATACTTCTCCTTTTGTATTTTATTGTAGGTTATATTTTACGGTTTTTATAGTAGTTATCATATATCAAATTATCAGTTGTAAAGTAAGTCACATTTCAGCCAGCCCGTATCTATCTATCATACATTTGTACATTGTATAAATTATTATCATTATTATAACAAATGTTCCTCATACAGATTTCTGTAAGAAAGGAGAGTGGGCAGAGGCTTTTTTGTTATTTCCAATTGAATACTTTTTTACTATTACCCTCCATTTGGGATAAATTTTAGTCCTTCAATCAAATATCAACAAATTAACCTCTGATTAGATAGCCTGCGTAGCTGCTAGAATTGTTTTTGTGAATGCAAGTGTTTTGGCTTTGCTGCAAGAAGCGAATGCAAAAGGTACATGAATATTCTAAGCATCTCCTCTCCATTCTCTGCTTGGCTTTGCAGTTTCTCTGCCAAAACTTAGCTCACATTCAGTAACAACCCCTTCGGCTACGATAAAACACAGATCTGGTTATTTTGATACGTTTTAAACAAAATTAATGTGATGACCATTGTACAATATATCTCAATAGACAGGGTGCATTAAAAACTGACATCAATGGCAATCAGTATACAATAAATGGTTCATTTTATAAAAGTAACGCCTGTTAGTCTGACATGCAGAAATGTATCTCCCGAGAAGAATGTAGAATAGTAATTGATGTAGGTGTTGAAAGTAATAACAGCTGGTTTTTGTTCATTCCAACTTTTCCAATAACAAATAACAAAAAATAAGAGGGGGAAGCAAGAAATGAAGCAAGCAGGGATCACAAACATTTGCTTTTCTTCTGGCCTCATACACTGTAACTCAGTTTCTCTCAAATGTATGTTAAAGTTGCTTTATAATTAGGAAACGTCTATAATGATTTGCATTGTCAAAAGTAGGTTCAGTTTGCATTGTGTTGTATTTTATAATATAAGTAAGATAGCACTCGCGCTTTGATTGGTTGAGAGGCATGATTGCACAAGAGTATGTAAACACAGTTCTGACCTCAAGATTCTTTGCTGTGAGGGACGAGTTAACCTCTTTTATCCATTTCCTTGACTGCTTAGACTTGGAAAATATTTACAAACATGCTGGACTAAAGTTTTTTGTCTTAGTAAGTTGGCATTCTAAGCGAGTAAAATCCATATGGTTTGAAATTGTTTTTCAACAAAAACAGAATCGATTATTGTGTACCATACTTAGCAACTTTTGCTTAATTGCACTGGCTAATTATCACGCAAGCATATGCAAATTTCAAAATATTAGGTTTTGCACTCGCTGAAAACTCATCACGTTTACCTTATTTATCAGTTTTCTCATCTCACGAGTTTACATAGCTGTCATGAATTCTCCCAACGCCCCCTCGTATTTACATCAGGCTATACAAACAAAGAGAACGTGTACAGAGTTTTTTCTTTTTTTAAAATCAATTCGAGACTGGGCAGCGTCTTCTTTTATATAAGATAATTTCATAGAATACAACTTAGATGTTTGAGTATAAACATTCCTACCTTTACAAAGATGATCGAGAAACCTCCTGAAGCGACGACAACTAGAAGCAGCGAAGAAGAGAAGTCAGACAAACTTAGCTTTCAGTGACATGTCAAGGTAGCGGCCATTTTGATTACTTGTGCTCAGTCTTTCTCGAACAACAAACACGAAGTGAATTGTGGGCGGGCAACCGTGCACGTGCGGCCTCCAGTTGCACGTGCGAAACGAAACTCAGTAGGCATTCTTTTAAACTATCAGGTGCGGTCACACTAGAGGTCTTCCCCATGGGAAAATCGCTTGAGTTAGCATCGCTCTGGGTTTTGATCACTTTCATATTTGCGGTCATATAGCGATAAATTACGGAAGGAAAAACTTAAACCCCGGTTTGTGGGAAATACGACGGTGCTATTAAAAGGGGGTACCAGAAACTCTTAAGGGGTTGAAACGTGTAACTCTCATATGTTTGCTTAGTCCGATGCTCGTGATTATTCATTTTCGAAAGTACTATATTTGGAACGAGGAGAAGAGATAACTGACCAATCAAACTTCGTAAACAACGTGACGTATTTTTCCTTCAGGTTCCCGCGCCCACTTAAAAATATGGCCGACAAACGGGGGAAGAACTCCCGAAAGCCGAGAAAGCTTTCAAAGGTTGAAACCAGGAATATTACCGAAATACTGAGCAGCATATTATTGCTTCACCTCCCGGGCCAAACGTAACATTATGAAACCCATTGACGGCCTCGCAACTTCTTGAAGTTGTCACTTCAAAAAACGATGCCTCGTTGACCCTCTGCACAGTAAACTTATACTGCAATAGGCTTTTAAAATTTTTATGTTAAAAGTCTAGAATAAACAGTAAAAAATATTTTCGAATAAAATTCATTAGCTGCGTATCGAAAGTGTCCAAAACCTGAACCTGACATCTTCGCAAAAAGTGATGCTTGTAATGAATGTGAGAAGCATCTTAAATTAAACTTAGATGTTGTAGTCACGATCGTGTTCTGAGCTAATTTTATGACTGAACAAACTCAAAACAATAGACAGAGAAGCCGTTTCTTGAACATTTTTATTTAAAGTCCAAAAAGTTAATCCTTTAAAGCAATTCGGAAAACACTATCCGGATCGTGGATCCGTTCACGCAAGTGATATCGGCTAAGCACATGGCAAAATTCAACACAAAATCCATCTCAAATCAGGGCACATTTTGTAATTTTTCTTTAGCGCCGAAGAGAAAAATTTATAAAACGTCTATGAAACATTTAAAAATACATAAATTCTCTTTCAAAAACGTAATTGTCTTGGCCATAGAGTGCAAAATGTACCTGAAAATTCAGCAAAAACTTCGCTGACTTGGTTGCATTTCAAAACAGACCATGGGCTCCGCCGTGAAGAAAACAAGGTTGAATTCCTCGAAGACGATTTCTTGATGAAAAGCTTCCCTTTCTCCACAAAAAGAAAGCTGAGCATTCTTTTGAACTTTCTCTTTTCATTTTTTGTCTTTTAACGGTGTATTTTTAACCCTGAAATGCAGAACTCTTGTCTTAAAACATCTGCATGGTGATCGCGCAGCAGCCATTTTGTTGAAAATGGATATCCGTCACCAAGATTTCCAAATATGGTCAAAATGAATATTCACAAGCATTGAACGCGAGTTACACGTTTCAACCCCTTATGGGTTTCTGGGGGTACCCAATTCTCAGTTAACTACTAATTTTGGTTGGCTATTAACTTTCACTTTCCTACAGAGAATATTATTCCATCATAACCCGAATTTTCCCTCTCTCAGCAAGTCTATCACTTTTGGAGGTAGGCCCTAATAAAATCAAGGATTAAATTTACATGAACTCTGCCACTAGTACAATTTATTAGTAACTGAAAACATAAGTCGTATAACCATCAATATGACACCAGCCTCATAGATCCAGACGCACCAGTCATGATCTCGTACTGATCTTCCCGACATGGTCATGCATGTCCTGCTGTAAACTACTTCAAAGTCACCTTCCTCGGCATTTTCACTATCTGATCGGAATCAGTCTTGTACTCATATGGTTGCTGTATGTCCTGTATCTTGTTGTTGGCCTAAGTTTCAATCCATTCATTTAATCCTTGCAATCCATTGCAACAGACGACGAGAAACAATATCAATGCCAAAATATAGTCTTAAATAACAAAACTAGACCATTATTTTTGGAATTCAACTGATGAATTCAATCACTGTTTGCACCAATGGGATCGAGAGACATAGTTGAGAGTGGTGACAAAGGCATGAAAGTATTTGACACGGGACAATTCGACTTTTGTTTCGTGAGTGCAGTAGCCCTCTTCGAACTCGTAGTTCTTTTAAGCGATTCCTTTACTGTGGTTCCAAAGTCTTGTGCGTAGTTGTTTTGTGTTGAAGTGAGAAACCGCATGTAGGTTTTCCACCTGCGTTGTCAGAAGATTTTTTTACCTCGATACAGATTTTGTCGACATCCTCTTCCGCGTCCCACAATGTTACCTTTTTCGCAGACGTACTTTATTCGCGTATTTCAAAAGCCTCATAAAGATATCCGAGGGTTTTAAGAAATAAAACTGCCGAAACTGTTTCGGTAAGACGGGTTTACATAAGAGCTTTTCTTTCTATTAAAAGAGTCTCAATAGTTAGAACTCCAACATCAGTAACAAAAATGATTTCTCGTAAGTACAAATTCCATGCACTTGAAAGAAAGACTGCTGATTTCTTTGAACCCTCAGAAATTCTTTTTAGCCAGAAACAATGCTAAGAGTCACAGCTTTTGTATTTGGGTAATGTTTGACTTGACGATCTTTTGGGTCCGTGAAAACAGTATTTTCCTTTTCTAAACTCAGAAATCTTGTTAATATCAGAAGACGAAATTATTCGTTGAGTTTTGTGTAACCAGCTCTTTGACTTACGCTTTTTGTTTGTCAGTTACTGCTCTGGTGACTGTGCCTTTTGTACATAGTAATATCAGTTAATGTGCCACCTGGTCATCAGCGGGACAGAAAATTGTCACAAAATAGCATTTCTGTTTGCAAAACTTTGTTGCTTTCATTAACATTAATATAATATCACTTAACTGTTAACATTTCATTTATCAGTTAACTACTAATTTTTTGGCCAATTATCAGTTAACTACTATTTTTTTGGCCAAATATCAGTTAACTGTTAACACCATTCGCACCGTCAAATATCGTTGTAGACATGGAAGGCTTGGCAAGAGTGATTAAGCCCTTAATTTTGAGACTAAAAAGGAAGGCGTCGACTAGCCTAGGACCAGGCTCCGCATTGGTGAGGGCGGGGGGGGCGAAGGGAGGAAGAAGGAAAAAAAATGGGCGTGGGCGAGAAAACCAAATCGGGGAGCGAGCCGAGAGGTAGTCTGGGAAGGGGAAATAAAAGAGTAACCTGGGACTAGGCTCCGTAGTTGGGGAAGAAGGCAAAAACGGGGTCAAACAGCAAAAATATTGGTGGATTGGGGCTCGCTCTGCCCCTCGCCGATACTTTTTGCTATTTGACCAGAATTTTGCCTTCTTCCCTCTACTGCGGAGTCTGGTCCCTTGGTAGACGTCGACTTCATTTGCGCTTAATTAAAAAAGCAGATTCTAGCCTAAATTCTTGCTTAAAGTACGCAGTGCCGTAGCCAGACCAAACGGCCAACCGAGGCAGGCGGGAGTTGCTAGGGGGGTTCGGGGGCATGCCCCCCCCCCGGGAATTTTGAACTTTAGTCTCTCGGAAATGCGATTTGCAGCGTTTTCTGGGCCTTTCGGTAACTTTTTTTCGAGTTAATTTAAGTGGAATTTAAAAAGCAATAATCAGAAACAAGCTACATAATCTGGGTGACCGTTAACCTCGCCAATGGTTTTGATCAGTATTTGTTCAAAAAAAATTTGAGTTAACGTACGTAGCTCCTTGAGATCGATGATATGGTAATTTTTTCATAGTATATTGACTGAATTGCTGAATTCTTTGTAATATCATGATGCGTTAAAAATATCCGATGATCGCTTATGTAAAATAAAAATGATCGGCGAAATTCGTCAAAATTTTACCGAGGCGAGTGCCTCGGTTGGCCTCATACTAGCTACGGCGCTGGTACGGGTTGACTAAAATGGTTGTAACGACCTTATAAGAAAAGAATTCTTTCGTATGTTGTGCCATGGTCGGCGTTATACGTCTTATATAAGATGATATGTTGCCGGAAATAAACGGCAAACTTTCGCAAGTGCCTACCTATCACTTACGAGAGCTATGGAGATCACTACCTCGGGGGGAGGGGGAGGTCAAATACTTATATACTTTATGGATATGTATTACTGTTAAATGTAACGCTTTTAGACAATGTTGGGTGAAGAGGTCTTTGAATAAGAGAAGTAATATGACCAGTACAAGAACGTAGGGGCTCGAACATTTTCTGTTTTGGAACGGGATTCTCAGATGGGGGATTTGGGAACTTGGCTTTAAATCATTTTCTAATGGACTAACGAAAGACACGCTAAAATCTTCATTTTTTTTTTTGTACTAACAATTTAAAACACAGACCATTTTTGTTCTTGGTTTCTCAATATAACAATACACTAGTTTCTGTATCTGGCATTTGAAAGGGTCATTTCTGAAATAGTCAGATTGTGTTTGGTTATTGATAGTTTCCTGACCCTTAATAGCTCATCTGATCCCAGAGAGATTTTCGTCAGTCAAATGAGTGCAAGGACCCTGAGCCGCTGGAGGTGTGAAGAGTAACAGACCACTTCCGAGATACAAAAACTCTCACTCTGTACACGAGGCTAAGTGCAAAACCCTTCCTGTGAAAAAAAAGTTTTATTGCATGAAAATACAAAATCATTTTCACATCAATAACTTCGCACTCAGCCTCGCTCTGAAAAGAATTTTGGAGCAACTCGGAAATGGCCTTAAGACTGTAAAAAATTACTTAAAGTTTAAGACCCGCATTTTCTACTAACAACTTAGAAATGTACAATATTTAATACAACTAACTGGCCATAATTAACAATAAGTCATAAAAAATCAATGAAATATTAGAAAGAGTAATGTACATTCTTAATATAAGAACAGTAAACTAGTCATAATTAACAATTAATTGAAAAGTAATATACTGAAAGTGAAAGTGATCTACTGAAAAATAAACTAAAAATTTTCCTTGACAGATTATCACTAGCCTTAATATTTCTGTGATGAAAATGTGTTCGGATCATGACAGTCTTTTTCAACCTTCAAAGCCCACATTTTTTTTCTTATGAAAATTCACAAATAAAGGAGACTGGAAGAACTTGAAATACGAAATGGTCACATGACAGTGCCAAACAAGGAGTTTCCAGCCGCTTTAATGTTGGACGCAACTGGTTACGCGTGATCTGTGGACACAGTTGATTTTTTAAACGATTGTTGTCGAACAAATTTCTTTTGCATCGGATGGACTTGAAGGCTCAGAGAATATTCAATCAACAAACACACTGTCATCTTTTTATTTCGGACTGGAAAAACATTGTCCTTCCTGGTGTGACCTTGTCTTTTAAACAGCTAAAAAGGCGCAAAGTTTCATTACTTTGTATGTGGCTAGTCGTGTCAATAAACACCGCTCTGATGTCGCTGGCGAGCTAAACATTACGTCCTGTACATACTATAATGTATAATTTTTTGAGGAGGCTTCCAGTCACCTTAAGGTGGTTTTTAGGAGAGTCCTCTAAAAAAAGAAGATCAAAAATATATGAAAAATACGCTAAAATACGGTTACAAACTAACACTACAAGAAAGATTTAAAAATTGAACCAACATTACAAATACTAACTACGATTCAAAATGATTTAATAAAAACTGTTTCAGTTGTGTTTCAACTGCGCATATACTGCGGGCGCGATACTCTCAGGGAGTGGATCTTATATAGAGAACAGTCTCATAACTGAAGTAATAAACAAGTTGAAAAGATATGTTTATGTCGTATAAAATTATTCTAAACTATAAGTGTGAACGGAATCTGGTAAGGACCAGATATTTACACTGAACAAATATAGTGCCTTACACGCTTTTGCACAAAAAACTCTGCAAATAAAAGGATATATGGAATTAACCAAAAAACTCATATTTCACTTCTTAAAAGACTAACTATCAAATATAAATGGATAAAACAAACAATATTAAGCTGAGTCCTCAGTGATTTGAGCGTGTAGTACTGGATGTTACGAGTATATAGCTGATTCGAGAAAGGTTGTCACGTGAGAAGCTGAATTCGTGCGCTACTGAATGCAGAGACATTATATTAGTAAATGTCATTAGTTCCTGGTTGCTTTCGTTTTTATTCTTTTACTTGTATCCCAGTCTGCAAGCGACAAAGGTACCGGCAAGTGAGTATCTCATCATCTAGAGTTCGTCATAATGTGCTGCACTGTGACTGAAAAAACATGATTGTTATTTTTTATAAGGAAACGTATAAGGGTCTTCAGGGTAAATCTTCTTAAATTACCCCAAGGTAGGTCATTTCCGATATTTCCGAAGCCTCTGTTTTACACTCTCCGGAGGGCTTAATTTCAGAAACTGGGAATAGCATTCAAAGACAAAATTCTTGTATTTCTCTAAACTGCAACAACGTTTTTTGCAACTTAAAAACTTTAATCAAGTAAAGAATGATCCTCGCTGTTGTCATTTGTTACCTGCTCCCAACATCAGTGGCTTCATAGCTCAGTTGGTTAGAGCTTCGCACAGGTATCGCGAGGTCACGGGTTGAAATCCCGTTGAAATTCCGGGCTGAAGTTTTTTTTAGGTTTGTACAGGTTTCTCTTACGCATATTGCATAAATTGCGTTCACAACTACGAGGATCATTCTTTACTTGATTTCATTTCCCGCTGTTTTCATTTATGATTTATTTCATATACATTTGTCGCATTAAAAAATTTAGCCCAAAAATTTTCAAGTTTTTTTCGTAGTAATTCCATTTTAATCTTCTTCATCCGAAACTATTTTTTATCTTATAAGTATTATCAACGTGTGGTATTTCTAACACTGTCTTTGTGCGTTTCATCGACTAAATAACATTTTCAACTAAAATTACCCAAAGAACCTCACCTTCATTGGTCGAAATTTAAAGTGACGTCATCGCCAATCAGCATAAATGGTGCCCAGTACATAACGGCATTGAAGTCGTTCGACTCCCGCATCATTTTCATGGCCTCATGAAGCGATTTACTTGCACTCTGCCCCTTGACCAAGTGTTCGTAAAAGTGTCTCATAAACACCAGAGTAGCTTGGTCGTTAACCGCCCAAAGTGAGGCAATAACAGAACGCGCACCAGCTCCTAAAAAGGCACGTGCAATACCAACCACGCCCTCAGCCTTGATCTCTCCTTGTCCGCTGTGACAGCAGCTCAAGACAACAAGCTTGGCGTCCAGTTCTGCATTCAACACATCTGTCATCGTCAAGAGGAAGTCTTTCTCTTCGAGAGGTTCAGAGCCGCCAAGATTAGGTGACAACAGAATTTCACCCCTTTCTGCAGAACCGTGAGCTGCAATGTGAACTAAAGAAACTGAGTTTAGCCTGCTTAGCACTTGTTCTTTTGTAGCGTTTTTTCCAATGAGAGGCTCAACGTTTAATATCTCACCAATCATTTTAACCTCCTCTTCAGCACCAGGGAGCTGCTGACGTTTTTTTCCTTTGAAGGGCGGTACAGTTTCAATCCACGGATTACCAACAAGCAGTGCACCACCTGTACAATGGCGCTCCTCTGGACACTCTGACAGCAGCCTCAAGCTTGTTAGTGACGGAGACAATCGAATTCTCAGCGTTTCAGACAAATAC